CCCCAGCCATGCAACCTGAGGAAATGGGGCATGCCGATGCTGGGCAATCCGGATCACGCGCCGTCCACACGTCAAAGGATTTGGGGGCCCGCTCCGAATTCTACTCTACTCCGAATTCAAACTCCGGATCCAAAGAAGCCGGGGACGCCTCTCTTTCCCCCCCCCCTCCGCCGCCCCGCAAGCAGGGCTGATTGCCCCCATCGCTCCACTCCGGGTTAGCCAACGCGCGTACACACCCAGCTTAATCCGGATTGGGAATTCGCTTTCTGCACGGCCGCCTCGATGGACTGCAATCTCCCCCCACCCCCGGCCCCAATCCGGTCAAGGGACCACACCTGGCCGAAGTCAGGCGGCGCCCTCCATGAGCCCGATCCGCATCGACGCCGCCGGGACTCCCCTCCACTTCCCGCGGCGCTTCTGCACCGCCCGCCCGCGCGGCACTGCCAGCTGCCAGCCTTCCCTCCGCGGGCCCCGCCCCCGTTGCTCACCCCAGCCAATCACGCCCAGGTTCTGTTTGAAGACACGCCCACCCCTGCTCCTTTCCCATCTCTATTGGTTGGATTCAATTGGAGGGACACGCCTTCCCAGGGACGTGCGGAGCCCGCCTCCCCCCCTCGCTTGGCCTGCTGGGACCTGTAGTTTGGACACGTTGCCGGGAATGGCAGGGGAAACTGCCTCTCAGGACTAGAATTCCCATCATCCTTTCGCCCTCCGCTCCTTGGGAGTCCCGAAAAAGTAACTTTTCCCCGCCTCTAATTGGGATCCGAAAAACAACAACGTTATTTTGCAATGGGTTATAATTAATTCACATGCAAACGACAATGATTCTCATTTATGTACTATTTATGTAAGGTATTCAAACCTCGGCCATAAATCCGAGCATCCCCTAGCCAGGTGTGTGTGTGTGGGGGGGGCTTTTCCAGATTTTTTGGATTACAGATCCCATCTTCCTTCTTCAACGGCCATCTTGGCTGTGGATGATGGGAGTTGTCATCCCCTGCCTACCGTATATAGGGCGCTGTTCTTATATTTTTTGCTACTCTTTGGGGAAGCCCCCTCCCTCCCCCTGGGGGGGTCTTAAGGAACAACCTGTGAGATCCACCCCATAAAAATGAATCCTGACAAGCGGAAACGGGAGGATGTTTGGCCTCAGGCTTCCAGGTGCGAAGCTCTTTTTTATACCCTAAACTAAGCTTTACCCTGAACTTCATTTTCTTCAGGACAACGAAGCCCATGCCTCCTCTGGGATTCCCTTCAGAGCTTGGGAAAAAATTCCATTTTCGGGATGAGAACGGCTGGAACCCCCCGGCCAACAGATAACCTCAAGCAATAGATGCTGAATCTCCCCCTTTCCCTCCCCCAAAATTCTCGAGCAAGTTTCATGCAAAGTGTACACAAGCATCACTTGAAATATATATGGCATCCTTAAAGGTGTCCTCGAAAGATGTGATGTAAACATTGAGGAAAACATTTTTTTTCATTGATTAGTTTGTTCATTGATTAGTCACACAAACTGGGCAGAGGCCCTCGATTAGAGACGACTTCATAGGAGCACCTTTCACGTGGTTTTCGCACCCTGCCTCTGTCTGGCTCAACGTCGCCAGCGGTTGAGGTGAAACCCGGTCAGATTCGACCGGTTTAGGCACCAAAGAATAAAAACATGACTTCCAGCAGTCTGGCGGTTGCTGTTGTTGTTAGGTGCTGCCGAGTCACCTCTGACTTAAGGCGACTTTATGAATGACCAATCTCCAGAACATCCCGTCCTCGACAGCCCTGCTCAGCGATTGCACACTCAGCCTTGTGGTTTCCTTGAGGGAGTCGGTCCATCTTACATTGGGTCTTCCTCTTTTCATGTTGCCTTCAACTTTTCCCAGCATAATTGGGATGGATGGGCCGGAAGCAGGACAGCCTCAGTTTCAACATTGTTGCCTCCAGAGAAAGTTCAGGCTTGATTTGATCGAGGACCCCCTTGTTTGTCTTTGTGGCCATCCAGCAAAGCTCTCCTCCAGCCCCACGTTTCAAACAAATCAACTTTTTTTCCCCCTGCCAGCTTTCTTTACTGTCCACCAGCATTATTATGTTGTGCAAAATTTGACCCACAGCTTTTTTTTTTTACTTCTCTCTCTTTCCCTCCCTCTCTTTTATTTTCCTTTCCTTTTCCTCTTTTCATTTCATGGACACCCAGCCAGGTTGACCCTGCACTGGGGAGGTTTTCTGAACCTTCAGCCTGTTGATCTGAGCGTCCTTCCTCTGCTGTGCAAATGTTGACGTCTGTCACCTTCTCTTAATTCTGACAAGGCTTCTGCCTTGAGCAAACACCCGTCTCTAAAGTGAGGGAGAATCAGAGCCATTTGGCCATCGTCTTTAAAGTGAGGGAGAAGCAGACCCATTTGGGCATTGAGGTGCCATCAGATAAGCCGTGATAAGGGGCACAGCCGTGGGCGGGCGTCCCCCTCCCCAGAGACTTTGTTTAGTAGAGAACGTGCTAAGTTCAGGGATAAGAAGGAGCTGGTCACCAAGGGAGGAAAAGGGTCCCAATGGCACAGAGGACAGTGCGGCTCTCTCTCTCTCTACCACTTCAACCAAGGACCACCTTTAGTGGAGGCTAGTAAAAGCTCCTTTCGAACTCGAACCCTCCCAGCCATGACTAAAGCTCCCAACATCCCGCCACGCTAAGTTGAGAATGATGGTAGGGGTCATTCAAAAAAATGGGAATACAGTGGTGCCTCGCCAGACGATGATCATCTGTTCCACAGATATCGCTGTCTAGCGAAATTATTGTCTAGCGAAAAGCAAATAGTTGTCTAGCAAAAATCGGTTTGCGAAGCAGGGACAAAACATTGTCCAGCGAAATTCCCCCATAGGAATCACTGTTTTGCAAATCCCTATAGCGATCGCAAAAAGCCAATGTCTAGCAAAAAAAACTGTCATGCGGGGTAACTGTCTAGCGAGGCATCACTGTATTCCCAAGCTTTCAGCCACAGGTGTGTCCAGAGAACTGGACCAGGAAAACTTCGGGTGGATTGCACCCCCTGAAGAGGGATCTCTGGGTGGCCCAGCACCCCAAATTCATACTGTTTCGAGGTCCTCTCTGGGAGCGACCTTCTCAGTTTCGACATTTTGGCCTCGGAGTTCAGGCTCAATTTGCTCTAGGACCCCCTTGGTCCTCTTGCCAGCAGTCCAGGGCATCCACAAAGCTCTCTGACATTTTGGCCTCAGAGTTCAGACTCAATTTGCTCTAGGACCCCCTTGTTCCTCTTGCCGGCAGTCCAGGTCATCCCCAAAGCTCCCTTCCAGCGCCGCGTTTCAAACCAATCCATTTTTCCCCCCTGTCCAGCTTCACGCCTATAAGATTTGTCTGGAAGTACAAAAGTATGGATGATCTTGGTCGTGGTCTCTCCAGCGGCACA